CGGGGGGGTGCCTTAGGGTTTAGGGTTTAGGGTCTATGGTAAGTTGCCTTGAGCGATTTACGGTGTGTGGCCAACAGATATCCTACCGGACCACGCCAACCAGTCTTTCCTGGTCTTGACAGCCCTATAAGGGTTCATGCCCTTAAGATTTCCGTTGGCGGGGGGGGGGTGGGGGGGTTCGAGAAAAAGGTTAAGGATTTAGGCAACGCCCTTCATAGAAAGTTTACATGTTCCCAGGGGGACATGTGGGATTTTTTCTAAATTAGGGTCCCTTTTAGCATCTAGGGTCCTTTTTATTTGTGTGCTGTACTATGTTAGAGTCCCTAAACCTTGAACCCGAAAAGGGACCCTTAATTTCGAGAATTACCCATGTACCACCAAGCACCTTTTCGACTTGTAGTCAGGCTCCAAGGGGTTTACGGTTTAGGGTTTAGGGTTTTTAGGGGTTTAGGGGTTTAGGGGTTTAGGGGTTTAGGGTGTAGGGTTTAGGGGTCTAGGGTTTTGGGTTGAGGGTTTAGGGCTCCTGCTCTAGACCACCAGCGGTATTTTTGCCAGTCCGGATGTACGTAATATAGCGGCCTAAAAACTACCAATACCATTTTGGGCGGGCTCCTTATAATTGTAGTGTAATATGCCTGAAGACCCTATTTTATAATTATAAAGGCCTCTATTTTGCAGTAATCCAACCGGAACCATGACATGAATCCTTCTCCTAGCTCATGACTACCCAGACCCCCAAAAGGATCTGAAAAAATAGATCCCTTAATTAGGGACCCTAACTACTAAAGGGTACTTTACAGGAACTCCCTTAGGGGATCTTTTTTTTAGATCCTTTTGGGGGTTTGGGTAGGCTTGGAAGCGTAAGTTGCCCAGACCTTCCAATATCCCTTCAATGAATGAACATACCTTAAATCATATTGGGGGTCCTACTATAATTTCAGGTATGTTCCTTCCCTAAGGGTCCAAGTGCCCATTATTTAAAGACTTTGGGGCTTTTTTTGGTACCTAAAACCATGAATAAGGACTACTTGCACCCTGAGGGCTTCATTACGGGCTATTGGAAGGTTTGGGTACTAAACCCCCAACAACGAGGCTTGATGAACGAGCATACGGCCACCGCGCTCGCTTACGGCATCTATCGCCTCTTGGGCTAAGCATTCCTTAAAGACAAAATGACCCTGAAAAAGTAGGGGCCCTATACGCTTGTACTATGAATCCCTTTTTTGGTATATGAACCTTAAACCCTTTTAGGGTTCGCTTCGTCCTTAAGGTTAGCAGCTGCTGCGGAATGCTCCGCTGCAAACGGTCGGGTTTGATGCATGTTTGGGGTTTAGGGGGATAGGGCTTTCGTGTTTAGGGTTTAGGTTTAGGGTCTAGGGTTTAGAGTAAAGTTTAGGGTTTAGGTTTTAGGGTTTATGCTTTGGGGTTTAGGGCTTAGAGAAGGATGGACCGCTTTGGTGTCTCAAACGGGTTTAGCTAGAAGTTCCCTGAGGACACTAGAGAAGAAAGGTGTTGATGCCCATTGTGCCAACCCTAAACCCTAAACCCTAAACCCGAGCCCATCGTGGGATCGTCTTTATGGGTTGGGGCTGTAGGTGGCTAAGGGTTTCGGATTTTAGGGTTGCGGGTTGAGACGTTTAGGGTTCGGTTCAGGCTTGTCTAGAATCGAAGCCCCTTAAAGGACATGCTATCTAGAATCTAGCTCGCCTACAACGGTAGGATACCCGTTTTGGGGCCCTAAACCCTAAATCCTAAAGCCTACACCCTAAACCCTAAACCCTAGACTCTTAAACCCTAAACCCTACACCCTAAACCCTCAACCGGAAAGGCATGGGGTTTTGAACCTCAACCAGTGCTACAGTAAAATCCCGAAAAAACTCAACCCCCAGGATTTATAACGTTTAGGGCTTTAGGGGTTTAGGGTTTAGGGTTTAGTGTCTATCGCCAACCCTAGCCCCGATTCCTAAACCCTACAGACTACAAACTCAAACCCTCACCCTAAGGGTCCAAGTATCTAAAAAATAATATACCCTCCCAAATAGTTAGTATCCTACATAACTACTACCCGAAACCTAAGTACCTGATTATCGGGTCCTTTGGACCCTTGGGTCATAAGACGTAAGATTCCACTGCACGTTTATGAACGCCGTATTACACCTCATGAACTCCAAACTCCAGGCCCGAAGCACCCGTTTTGGAAAAGTGCAAGGGCTCCTTAAGCCCTAACCTAAACCCTAAACCCTAAACCCTAAACCCTAAACCCTAACCCCCATGCACACGCGTGAGCCCTGAACCCTTAGACC